AGATAGGAGTCTCACGGTCTTTCCTGCCTGGGCTGGCTTTGAACTGCGATCCTCAGATCTCAGCCTCCTGAGTAGCTAGGATTACAGGCGTGAGCCACCAACGCCCGGCTAAGATCCATCCATCTTAGCAACAGTCACCTTTATTTTTTATGAACATGTCACAGAAGCACCATGGTTGTAAGGGCTGGGTGATTGATTACTCAAACCAGAAATCACCCAGACCTGCCTCCCTCCCTCAGCTCCAGCACCAAGGGCAGGAGTGCTGTTGGTAACGGGCTGTACTCCCAATGCCATCCTCCCCCCACTCCTACCCCAAGTAGACAATAGGTAACCCAGTGGAAGCCCTCTCCTTCCCTCTCCCGAAAGCTGCATACTTACTGCACTAGTGACCCCACTTGTTGCCCTAGTTGTGACTTTGATGGGCCCGCCAGTCCTCATGCAGGCCACCCCATTACAAGGACTGAAACCCCTCTGCAGCTCTTCAGACCGTTTCAAAACAGGAGACCTGAGCAGAAAGGCACATGCTCGGTGTTTTTCTGGAACTTAACCTCCATGTCCCGTTCTCTGCTTCCCTCTTTGACTGTCTTCTCCATAGATAGGGTGGGGAGCACAAGAAATTGACCTACTCTAGCTTTATATCACAGTCCCAGAGACTTTCTGAAAAAGCCCATGAGGTCTAGGTACTATTCTAGATGTTTAAAACCCCTGGATGGCTCTGTGTGCGCCCAGTGGAAAACCTCTTGTCGGAAACTGAGGCTGCTTCTGGTTGAGCCCAGGAGTGTGGCAAAGACACTGGAAGTGACCAGCTGAAAGAAGAGGGGGGGGTGTCACATCCTGCGCTGTCCCTTCCTCTCAAGCCTTTGGGGAGGATGAAGGGAGGTTTCCCAGTTTCATGGAAAAGAGCCTGAGACAACATCGAGAAGCAGAAAAGCAATTGCCTAGTTCCAGAACACGCTGAGAAGCCCCAGGGTGAACCTTCTTCTAGGGCCATCTTGCTGCTGTTTGGAGCTGGGACATTAATCCTGGCCTTCTCCTCCTAGAGCCTGCTGGGACTAGAAGGTGTTCCCCTGGATAGGAGGGGAGGGAGGGGATGGGAGCCAGGCGAGCTGGGTTCCCTTCCCTCCCTCCCTCTCTGGACCACATTTCCTACATTTCTTCCCACTGCCTCTCTTCTGAGTCAGTCTCCATATCTGGCGGGTTTAAGCCCTTCCCTCTCTGGCTCCCTGAATCTGGGTGGGGAAACTGAGGTCAAGAGGGGGCCGTGGCAAGTGAGTCACTAGAGCTTAGCTGTCATGTCTCCACCCTCCACTTTCAGGCCGTACGGACACAATTCATCAAACAAAAATGTGAGTCCCTGGCGCTCCCCCTTGTCTGCTTGAGCTGGGCTGAGGCAGAAAAGTCATGTTTGGAGCCAAATCCCAACCCTTGGCTGGTGCCAGAGGCTGCCATGATGGTTGCCCCAGCCCAGCATATAAAAATGGGTTTGCTCTTCTGATAGTCTTGGAGATATATTTGGCTCTTGTGATTTGCCAGGACCCAAGGTCATGACCTACTTAGCTCTGGTCACCTGGCCTGTCCTACCCTGTGACCTTTGCCAAGGAGGGCACTCATAAATAGGATTCCAGGTTACAGCCTGGTGAGAAGCAGCCATTGATGTCACAGCATTACCCACCTTCTTCTCCCTTCCCCACTCCCTACCCCCACCGCTCCCCCTTCCCCACAACCTCCAGAATTTCCTCACTGCTTCTTATGCCTCTGGAGCTCAAGATATGTCTGCTTTTGCTAAATAACCACATGGAATCCCTCACCCATGTGAAGGTCCTCAGGGGGAGCCAGCTCCAGATGTGCTCCCTGAGTGCTTCTCCAGCCTTGAAATAGCCTGGCGCTGTATCTCCAGCTGGAGCCCCAGCAGCAATGGTTAATCACCTGAGCGCTTGCACATGCCAGGTGCTTTCCATGAAATGACCTTGTGACCTGGGGCCTTTACTTACCCCATGGCACAGAAGTCACCCAGTCTCAGAGAGTTTATAGACCTAATCCACGGCTGTATGGACCCCTTTAAAGGCTGACTTTTGAACTTGTGCTTTCACTGCACTCTGCTAGGACCTAAGGCAGAGCAACCCCAAGGCTGGGGATCCTAGGGAGGGCACACATCTTCTGGGCAGTGTCTGTATTCACTTGTACAGGTATTCATTGGGCCCTTGCTGGACTAAGACTCTGGGCCAGACTTTGCGGCTCTGGGCAGGAACCTAAAAGTTCCATCCCACCCATCATCTGCAGCCCCAGCTGAGCTCACCCCAAGGGGCCTGAGGCTGTGCAGATTCCCTGGACCAGTTCCAGTGCTCATTGATGCTTCCCAGTCATGGGCGGCCCATCTTTCCCAACACCACCATTGCTTACACATGAACACATCTCCCCAGGGTCAGCCTCCATGTGGCCAAAACCATGGCCTCCTTTCTGGGCACTAGAACAAGGTCCTTCATTGAGCTCAACCCTTGAGGCTGTCTGTCACGTCCCCTGGCAGTACCAGAAGAGAAGCTGCGTCCCTTACTCCTGGGGTCCTGGCAGTACTGTGGGGTGGGGGAGGGCCCAGACAAGGCCTCTTTCTCTCCCAGATGCCTCTGGCTACCCTGCAAGGCCTGAACAAGAGCCATAGAGAACGTCAGGGTAGGAGGGTAGGAACGAAGGGGCAGGCTGACTGCTGGAGAAGAGCAGAGAAAAACAGACATCATTAAGCCATAGTTTGATGCTCATGAAGGGCAGAGGCTATCAGATGGTGGATTTTTTTGTTGTTTTTTGTTTTCTGTACAGGGTCCTGGGGCTTGAACTCAGAGCCTAGGCACTGGCACTGAGCTTTTTTGCTCAAGGCTAGCATTCTACCACTTGAGCCACAACTCTACTTCTATCTTTTTTGGAGCTTGATTGGAGATGAGAGTGAGTCTCACTAACTTATCTGCCCAGACTGCCTTCCAAACTTGATCCTCAGATCTCAACCTCCTGAATAGCTAGGATTACAGACATGAGCCACCAGCACCCAGCTTCAGATGGTGTTGTATGTGCATCAACAACCTAAATCTCAGCAGCCCCATAATCCTTCATTTACAGAGGAAGGTATTATCCAGGGATCTGCTTGCCAGCCAGGGCACAAAACCTTTACTTTGTCCCTAATTTTATTTGCTGTATTGCTTCTTGCTTATCTTCAGGAACTGGAAGCTCAGGGACTGAGTTTAGGGGAGGAGATTCAAGAAAGTTCCTTATGTGACCCAGTGAGAGATGGAGGGAGACTTCCTGTCTTAAGGAAGGGCTAGTCTACTTTGGAAAGATCAATCTTTAAATGTGGAGATGGCCTGAGGGATAGCTTTGTGTGATCATGGGGGGCGGTTTCAGATACAGAGAAGGGTATGGTCTCCTGGCTTTGTGTGACAGATAATAAAGGGGATCTGGAAAGCCAGCTGGAGGTGGGGGAAGAAAGGAAGGTTATAATGAAAGTTTCTGCCAATTCTGGAAGTAAACAGACCTGAGCTTAACCTGTTACTTACTAGACTTTTCTCTTTACTTCCCCAATCTTGTTTGTCTGCAAACTGAAAATAAAACAGTTAAAGCAAGGGAAAGCAGACATGTTCTTAATGTGTCCAGCACATACCAGATGCTCTGTAAACACAGTGTGTGCATGGTAGTGTGAAATCAGGCCCCGGGTTTCTAAAGGTGCACAAAGGCTTTCTTCAAGTTTCTCTGCAAGTGGCCAGGAGTCTATCCTGGAATCTGAAGACCCAGGGAACTTAGCTTGAAAAACCCTCAGTTGATGCCCTAACTCAGCCTTTGTTTCCTGGGCTGGTAGGTAAAGTACATCAACCAAGAGACTAGAAAGAATCAGCATTTGCTGAGTGCTGACTTAATGCCATGATCTTCACATAATTCCCAGCCACCTGCTGGGTATGGCTGGCTCTGGGTTCCTCTTCACAGAGGTAGAGAGACCAGTTAAAAAGCAACAGCAGGCATTTATTCAGCGTATGCTAAATGTCAGGTCACTCTCCGTTCTTTATTAGCTCATTGAATCTCAGAGCAACACTGTGAACTGGGTACTATAATTATCTCCCCAACTTTGTAGGAAAAGAAATCATATTTTGATGAAGTTGACTTAACCCAAGGTCTAGCGAGGAGTCTAGACCATCTGATTCCAGAGCTCAAGCTTCTTAGCTATGTGTGGTGTTGCCAATCAGGAAAGGTGCTGTTTAGTGGTGAAAGGTATAGAGGATGTAAGGCTGGGATACAGCAAAACAGGCCTGGGAATGGCAGGAGGAATTTAGGTTCCAGCATAGCATATTTGAGGGTCACTGCTGATGTTTGAGAACAAGAGTCTCAGGACCAGGAGAAATTAGAAGCAGGGTGAATGTTTGATCTCATCTGTATGAGGGACAAGATCAAGGTTGATGAACTGAGAAAGGGGGGGAGCTCAGATCAGAGGGGGCAGACCATGGGCAGCTCTTGGGTTCCTGGTGGTGTCCACTCAGGCCCTCCTGACATCTCATCTCTTCCTGCTGCAGCCATCGTCAGCCAGTGGCAGCAGGAGTCCAAAGAGAAGGTGGTGTCTCTCCTGCTCTCCCATCTGCCTTTGCTTCAGCCTGGCAACACAGAGGCCAAGTCAGAGTACATGCGGCTGCTCCAGAAAGTGCTGGCCTACTCCATCGAGAGCAATGTCTTCATTGAAGAGAGCCGTCAGCTGCTCTCCTACGCCCTCATCCACCCGGCCACCACGCTGGAGGACCGCAACGCACTGGCCCTCTGGCTGAGCCACCTGGAAGAGCGGCTGGCTAGTGGCTTCCGCCCCCGACCAGAGCCCACATACCACTCACGTCAGGGCTCAGATGAATGGGGGGGACCTGCAGAGCTGGGCCCCGGAGAGGCAGGGCCAGGTTGGCAGGACAAGCCACCTCGGGAAAATGGACATGTACCTTTCCACCCATCCAGTTCTGTGCCGCCAGCCATCAACAGTATTGGGAGCAGCGCCAACACAGGTAAGAAAGTGGCCAACTGAGCATCTTCATTTCTGTGGCCTTGGGCAAATCCCCTAACCTCTCTGGTCCTCAACTTCATGAGCAAGGCAAAGGTGAATATGACCTGGGATAGACATTTTATTGTACCTATGCTATAGGGTGTTGTGTTTTTTTGTTTTGTAAGTTTGGGGTCTTGAACTCAGGGCCTGGGCACTGTCTCTGAGTGTTTTAGCTCAAGACTAGTGCTCTACCACTTTGAGCCACAGCACTACTTCCGGTTTTCTGGTGGTGAATTGGAGATAAAAGTCCCTTGGTCTTTCCTGCCCTGGCTGGCTTGGGACCACGATCCTTGGATCCCAGCCTCCTGAGTAGCTAGGATTAACAACCGTGAGCCACTGGCACCTTGCTGTTTTGTGTTTTGTTTTTGACAGTACTGGCTTGAACTAAGGCCCTTGAACTCATTTGGCTGGTGCTCTACCATTTGAACCACACCACCACACCTTCTTGGGCTCCAGGCTCAGGGTCCCTACAGATGTTTTTTTAATGCTCATTTTTCTTTTTGGCACAACTGGGATTTGAACCCAGGGCTTCACACATGCTAGGCAAGCAAGCACTCTGCTACTGAATTACACTCACTACATGCTTAATAGCTTTAAAGGACTAACCTTGAACAATGTCGAATCAGGGCTTAGGCCAAAAGAGAGATAGGAATTAGGCAACCACAAGGAAGGTAGAGCATGAGCACAATTGGCCTGGGGTGGCAGGCAGTGGGGGGTCAGTGCGTGGCAGTAGCACTAGCCTTTACCAGCTGCCCTTCGCTCTGCTAAGGGCTACACATGAAAATGCAGGCAGCAGATGCCCCAGAGTGCCTGGTTCCAACTGAGGCAGCAGAGCCAGAATTTGAACTAAGGTCTTACAGCCTTAGTGTGTGTGCATGCACATGCCAAGGGGACTGAAGGATAGAATAAAGCTTTTAGATTTTAAGCAGTTGCAGGAAACAGGAAACCATTAAAATATTTTTGAGTGGGAAGCCAGGATTGGCCTGGGAGGGCAGGCGGGGTGGGTTTGGGGTGCTGCCAAGGACAGGCCGGGGTTTCTTGGAGAGTGGAGGCCCTGGATCTCCAGTCGGCATTCCTGGTCTTTGAATCCTCTGCCGTGGCCAGCCTCCACACCAAAGCACAGCCAAGCAAGGCTCCTCAGGAACTTCATGATCCTTCCAATCCCAGCCCTTTCCTGCCTTCAGTGTCTCCTGTCCCTTCTTGGCTAGAAAGGGAGGAAGGAGTAGGCCAGAGGCACAAAGGCTTGTATTGAGGGTTCTCCTGCCCTGTAGACCAGAGTGTGCCATCTTCCTGCAGGAGTCCCAAGTGGAGCAGAAACCAGGATGGTGGTGGGGGCGTCTGAGGGAGCCTTGAATAGAGCATGCCCAAGGGCCTGGGCTGGGGCAGGGGCTGAGGCTGGCCCCACTGGGTGGCCTTGTGCACCGGCCTCTCCCTTGGGTGACTTCCTGGCTGGGAGCATGAGGCTTGTCACAGGTGGTGACAGAAGGTGATTTGGGGTTAGGACCAAGCTGGCCTCCTTCCTGGGCAGGATGTCAGTGGACCACTGGCAGGAACCCCAGCCTTCCCGTCAGAACAAGGCCGGTGGTCTCTGTTCCCTGCTCCCTGTGGGAACTGGGGCAAAAGACTTCAGCTTCCTGGGCCTGGCTGTCCTCGTCTACCCAGGCTTTTGGCTTTGTTTCTTTTTTTTTTTTCTCTCTCTAGACTGCCTAGAGGTACTTCTGGGTTGTCTGTGCCAAGCCGCCTGCCCTCTTAGTGCCCTTTTGTCCTGTATGAAACTTGGGAGGCTTCTGTGCCTTGGGCCCCAGGCCCGATCTTGGCTGCAGAAATGATTGGGTTGGTGGCCATCCTGCACAAATCCATAGTTCAGTGCAAAGTCTGGCGAGTGCTAAGGGCTGTGGGCTCTGGGCTTATGGCAGCCGTGGAGGGAACTTGAGGCAATGCAGCTGGGTAGAGAGGATGGAGAGGAGAAGAAAGCCACAGGCTGGAGAGAGTAGGCCATGGGAAGATCTGGAAGCTCACAGGAGCCTGCCTTGTCTTGGGAATAGTTAAAAATCAGGTTACAGGCCTCTGCTTCCTCAGAATTGGGAACATCAGCCAGGTGTGGGTGGTTCATGCCTGTAACCCTAGCTGCTCAGGAGGCTGAGATCTGAGGATTGCAATTCAGAGTCAGCCCAGGCAGGAAAAGAAATGGGATAACGCGAGGGTTTGAAATGTCCTGTGGAGAAGGGCCTCGTGGGTAAGCCAGTTTGGGCGTTAGGGAGGGCCAATGACAGAGATGTTGAAAAAACAATCCACGCATCTCATTTCTGTACAAGTACTTAGAGAGAAATGGCTCTGTGGCCAAGACTCACTGTGGTGACTAAGGATATATTGACAGGTTCTGTGTTTCACAAAAATTTTCTAGCAAGGGTCTGGGAAGGTGGCTCAGTGGTAAGAGCACTTGCCTTGCATGCTCGAGGCCCTGGGTTCGATTCCTCAGCACCACATAAGCAAAAAGAAAAAAGCCGGAAGTGGTGC